TCTTTAATATTTCTATGCCACTTTCTAGGACTTCTCTTCTAGATCCTTTTGGATTGACATATTAAGTTTATTATGGGAGATCTCAAATAACCAAGTCCTGAAGTGATCCTGTAGAGCAGTGGTTCCCAAAGTGGGCGGTACCGCCCCTGGGGGGCGGTAGGATGCCTTAGAGGGGCGCTAAGAGGCAAGGGGGCCAGCAGGGGGGCGCTAAGAGGCGGCAGGGGGGGTGTTTGAGGCCCTGCAGGGTCACCCCATTGACTGTTGCACCACTCCGGAGCAGGCACCTCAAATGCGGCAGCTCCGATGCACTGCTTTGTAATGGGCTCCAGGAGGAGGAGGGGGGGATGGAATAAAGTGCACTAAACTTGAGTGTGCTGCACAGGTGCTGCAAGAGCAGTGAACAGCCATGGAGGCGGCTGTGGTGGGGCCTGGAGGGTGCGCACAAGAGGAGAAGGAGGGGAGAGGGAGAAAGGAAGCCTCCGCCACGGCTTACACTCATTCCTCAGCCAACCTGGATAGAAGCCAAAGATGTTTCAATGTGGAAAAGGGGCTCAGTCTAAACTAGGCCTCATTTTAATCTGATGCATCAGCTCTCTCTCTCTCTCTCTCTCTCTCTCTCTCTCCCTCCCTCCCTCCCAGACTGGCTTTGCTCTACTTTCCCAATGTGCCTGCGGCGCCAGCGCTTCGAACATGGATGGATGGATGGATGGATACAGAGAGAGAGAGAGAGAGAGAGAGAAAGACAGGTAGGTGGGTAGGTAGATAGGTAGGTAGATAGATATATTGGTAGATAGGTAGGCAGGCAGGCAAGCAGGCAGGAAGACAGACAGACAGACCTTTTGGATGGATGGATGGATAGGTGGGTAGGTAGGTAGATAGATAGGTAGGTAGATAAGTAGGTAGGTAGATATTGGTAGATAGGTAGGTAGGTAGGTAGACAGAAAGACAGGCAGGCAAGCAGGCAGGTAGGTAGGCAGGAAAGCAGGCAGACAGACCTTTTGGATGGATGGATGGACAGACAGACAGACACACAGACAGAACGCGACAGCGGTGGCACTTTAGGAAAGTAAAGCAAAGCTGCCGCCACCGTATTCGAGGCGCCGGCTCCAGAGCGCTGCAACAGTCAATGGGGCGAGCCTGCAGTGCCAGCGCCTCGAACGCCCCCTGCCACCTTTTAGCACCCCTATGCCAGCCCCCTTGGGGGTGCTAAGAGGAGGCAGGGGGGCATTCGAGGCGCCGGCACTGCAGGCTCACCCCATTGACTGTTGCACCGGAGAGGTGCAAGGGGCTCAATGGAGTGAGCCTGCAGAGCCGGCGTGTCGAATGCAGAAGTGGCACATTGAGAAAGTAGAGCAAAGCTGCCTGCCCTGGGCTTCCTCAACTCTGCCCTGCTCCAGGAAGGAGGGAACAGCACCACCCTCTACGACGTGAGTGCCCCAAGAGGGGGGCCAGCTTGGGAGGCTGATCCCTGGCAGGAGGGGCACCCTGTGAACTTGCTGTCAGGCATGGCAACTACAAAGAGGGGCAGGCTTGGCTGAGCAGGATCCTGGATATTGGGCATGTGGTCAAAGTCCCCCTTCCTCTGCCTCCCCCTAGGTCTGGGGTCTGCAACCTTAAACGCTCAAAGAGCCATTTGGACCTGTTTCCCACAGAAAACAAAACACTGGGAGCCCCGAGACATGGGTGGACGTGGCAACTCAATGTCACTCCCACTGAGTCACATAACCCCCCAGGTTTTGTGGTTTTCTGTGTTTTCTATGGGGAACAGGTTGCTCTCTCTTTCTTCCTCCCTCCCTCTCCCATCTCTATCTTTCTCCCTCTATCTCCCTCTCCCTCCTTCTCATCTCTTTGTCTCTCCCTCTCCTTCTCTCCCTCTCCTCTAACTCTCTCTCTTTCTCTCTCTCTATGCCTCTTCCTCCCTCCTTCTCCCCCATTCCCCACCCCCCTTCCCAACTCCCGCACCCAGGGAATAACTGTAAGGAAATTTGGCCACGCTCTTTCTGTCTCTGGAAAGATACAAAAATAAACCTTGCATTCCAAAAGTAGTGGCAGTCAGGCTGTTACCTCACAGTGCTACGAGGTTGCTGCCTTAGATCGCTGCTGAATCCTTGCAAAACTGGGCGAAGACAGAGAGGGGAGCAGACAGAGCTGAATTGAGCCAAATCTCCCTCCCTCCCTTTGTATCTCTCTGTATCTCGCTCTCTTTGTAGAGTTTTCAAGGTGGGGTTGATTTGCACCTTGATTTGCACCTAAGCAGTTTACAGGATAGATGTGTTTTACATGGGCAACTCTTGAAGAGCCCATTATTACCTGGGAAACTACTGGTTTAAGCTCCTAGAATCTAGATGGTCTTCAAGGGCAGAATCCTGAATATATTAAATAGTCCAATTGCCAAGTGATGACGGTCTGCATAACTGTGTGCAGTGTTTCCTGACCCAGAAACAATTGCTATGGGTACACTAGATACCATCATATTTGCTCAAGCAAGTGCCAAACACCCAGGAAAACCCTAAATCATGAACAGCCTCTGTCCAGGGGGCTTCAACATTCTTCAGAAACAAAGAGGCTATCTTTAGAATCAGAGGGTTTCCATATCCACAGCCAATTTTTCTTTCAGGGTTAAGTCTGTTCTTCCTGGTCCTATTTCTAACAACCTCTAAGCATCAAGACAGTGCCTTCAGCACATCAGTTTTTGGGATGCAATGGATATGTATGTATACTTCACCCCATGCTGATATATCACCCCCGCTGTGCTTCATGTAGGTATTAAAGGAAAGGAAGAAAATAGTTGAATTCTACAGCACACCATAACCAGGGTTGACTTCTTGAGTCACCAGGGTTGACTTCTTTCTGCCCAGAGCCACAAACTGGAACTTGCTATACAGGATGGAGAACCAATGCAACATTGTGCACCCTTCCCCAAATCTTGCAGCCTATCCAGCTGTTGATGGTATCAGATCCCTCTGATAAATAAAACAAGACGGGGGGCGGGGAGAGTTACTCTCCCTTTATCCCAGTCTTGTCAGAGGTCATCAAAGAGGGTCATCAAGGTATGTTCAGTCCTATGCCAGGGCCTGAACCCAGGTTGATATGCAATTAATCTGTTTCCTTCAGAAATCTCTGTACGTTTTTTTTTTATTTTAAATTATTGAGATTATTTTCCCGAGGTTTGTAGATTTCTTCAGACATGGCAGAAAAAGATAAAGAATCTTTCTTTTAGACTGATATCTGCCAATCTGTGCCAATCAATCATAATTAGTGAAATCGAAAGGAACAGATCAACCATATTTTATTCTTCATCTCTTCTCTCTGGAGCACTCAGTAAAGCAGTTTCATATCAAATATGATGAAGTTACCAGGGGAAGAATTACATACGATAGGATTAGAAAAAGGAAATTTAGGGGAAAAGACTGTCAAGCTAGAATAAAATTGTTTGGAATGACAACAAAGTGAACAAGATATCTGACATCTAGGTTCTTCCTTTCTAGCAAAGTAAAGATGGTCCAGAAATTTTAAATAATGGAAGCTTTTATGACCTTACAGGTCATATAAGCAACTGATGGAAGTGGTTGATTAAATTGAAAGTCTGCAGTACTTTGGAGACCATAGTTTCATTCAGATAAACAAAAACAAACAAATCTCCCAAGCACAGTAAAACATTATCTTGACTAGACAGACGTTTATAGAGTTATATGTACTTTATTCCTGATATAAATGTGGATTTAGAAGTTCCCATAAAATAAATAGTGAGATTACACTGTTCCATTTCTAATACTCCAATAAATCTGTGAGTGGGTTCACATATTATTAGACTACAATGTGGAGGGCTAGTTTAAGGCTCATTGTAGTTTGTAAACATAAGTAATTGATTTCATTCAGAAAAACATCGTTTATTGACCATAAGTTACCATGAGTTTGGCATTTTTTTAAAAAATGCAAAAATAGTCTGTGGGTGCTTTTGGTTCACTACAGAGGCATCTTAAGGACGTGTTCAAACAACGAATTTAAAGCAGACTTGAATAAATGAAATTGAACAGCAAATTAGCAAGTTGTCCAATTCCCCTGTGTTCCAAAACGAAAGCGGCTGCTTTCAAACACAGTAGAATAGAAGAGAATTCTTTATTGGCCAAATGTGATTGGACGCACAAGGAATTTGCCTTGATGCAAATGCTCTCAAAGGCAATTTGTCTCACCCCAGAACGTTAATGCCAAGCATTTATATGATAGCGGCAATTTATTTACTTACAAATGTAGTAAAACCATTAATACAAAGCAGGGTTGCTATTCAAATAAAACGGACATACCGATACAAATAAACCTACTGCTCCTATGCATCCGGCATGCCGCCGACTCTTGCCTGAAAAACTGACACCAGGACTAGCCTACGGGACGACGCCGGATTGCCCTGCCCTGCCCTGCCTTCTGCATCGGGAGTAGCTTCTGAGGCGGCAGAAATCTGCACCCGAGAGAAAGAGACCTCCCACGAGTGGTCTGCTCGGTGGAGCGCTGCTGGGAATAGGAAGCAGGCTGCTACTTGCCACCGGATTTGGGGAGTTCAGCAAACGCTTCTTCAAGATGTATAGTAGGAAAGGCTTGAGCCAAGGCTCGGAGGGTGGGGCGGCCCGATCCCGCTGACGGCCGCCGGCAGGGAAAAGCGGGAGAGAAAAGCCAAGCGAGCCATCCGAAGGCAGGTCGGCAATACTCACCCCCGCCGCCTCGGACCAGCCCGGAACGAGCAGCAGCAGCAGCACCGCGAAGAGGAGCGCGATGCCCGGCCCCGCCAGCCTGCTACCCATCGTCGCGAAAAGCTCCGTCCGCCCCCACCGGTGTGCTCACACGTGCCCGTGCCCGGCGGGGCTGATACAGTCAGCCTCCTTTCCCGTGTCCCGCCTGGAGCGTCTCTAGCGCCGGAAAGGCGAGCTTGATTCTTGGGCCCCGCTTGTGGGCGGCCGCGGCCGCTCCCTTCCCCGCCTCTCTCCGCCCCCGGCCCCTGGGAGCCAGGAGCCGCCGAGGAGGAGTCGGCCGGTTTCCGCTGTCTCCCGCGTCCGTTCAAAGCCAGGAGCCCGTCGCGTCCGGAGGAAGGATGCGGGCTGGCCGAGCGGCAGCCTGAGGGAGTTGCCGTGACTGGAAGGTGAGTCCATACCTGCAAAGGGCGCGAGCCTCGACTTCGCCGCCCTCAGCTTTGAGCCCGCCTCGAGGGTCGCCTCTCTCGCTTCCTTCGTGCCCCCCCCCCCCACGACCCCGGGCGTTACTTTCGCGTCTCAGGGCCCCGGGTGTGTCGTCGTCCGCCCCGCCCCGCCCCAGCCCGGTAAGCCACCTGAGGGAAAAAGTTCTTCCACCCGGCGTGTGGTTCCGGAGGGAAGCGGAGCTTTCTGAGGAATGGGGAGGGGCGGGGAATGTCCTCCACCATCGACAATGGGGATCTGTTTAGCCTCTCCAGGAGCAAAGTGCCGCTTAACTTGTCTCCGGCGACCCTTTGGAGGTTGCGCTCATTCCCCTCCTCTCTCCTCCCCGCTTCCCCGTGAAAAATGCCTGCCTCTGCCCGCCGCTAATGTCTCTTTCCAAGACTGTCTTCCCTTTGATTTCTAGGACCGTCCTCTTCAACGAGGAGAAAATAAAGCAGACATGAAAAGTACTCCACGCTTCAGTTTAGGATGCTGGACTAGGCAGTAAGTAGACATATTTCTTTCTGCAGTTGCTTCCATTTTCACTGGCAGGGAAAGTATTGTTAGCATTTCTTAAAAGCGGCTGTAAGACATGCAAAACAGTAAGAGCCGGCTTGGCCATAAGGGGATGAATTGTAACTATTTTAATCTTGTCTTGGTACAGGGATATGCAAATTATCCTCCTGGTGGGATTGACTGTGCTTCTTCCTGCCTGTGTACAAGCTGTAAGTATATCATCACCATTTTTTTTAAAATTAAAACAAAACGGTGAGGAACCTTTTTAGGGTTGCTTCCAAGTCAATCCAAATCTGTTGTCAAAGTTCTTCAACTACCTTTGCTGTTTTCCAGAAGTGCACTTTTTATTATTATTTTTCTACTAAACAGTTTGATCTTCCCTCCCCATTTCTCTCTGTTCAGAAATATGGCTTAAAGTATGAATGCGAAGTATTTTTAATTTCAAACTGTAACTCACCTGAATTGATTTGTTTCATATATGTTTTAAAACAATAAGGAAAGTATCAGTCATGTTGGTTTCTAGACATTGCTTGTAATGTTTTTATGGAAATGTTAAAAATTGAACAACCCATATTTGCAGAATATTACAACCCAACTGAAATATCACAAGTTTTTTTTAATTCTCTAGGGCCTCTTCTGAAGCAACTCGTGAGTTAGACAAAGTCAGGCTGATATGAACCACTTTGAGGGTGTGTGCATGAATTATTGACATGCTAACAAGCCAACCAGAGTTTAGGCTGCAGTCCTCTGTGTACCTTGCCCACATGGTTAGTTTATGTATAGTTTATATTTTACACTAATCTCCAAAGCAAAATAAATAAATCATAATTAAGGTAATTATGGGTTTGAATCTTTTGGAAATTCAGACAACAACTGTAGAAATCTCTTCTTCTATTCACAAAATGCCTTATCAAGGTATCTATCCAGTTGTCAGGTGACTAGAAGTGCTTTAGAGAAAATAACCCACTGGCCACCAAATTTCTTCCATTTCTTTCTTTGGACTTCTCCCCTGTCCCACCCTTGTGGGACAGACATATTTTTTTAACAAGTAAAAATGATGGGTTCTGATCGCTTGGAAGTCTATCTAAGTGTTCCACTTCCTTCAAGCAGAGGGAAATGGACAGACTGTGGTTGCTGCTTGTTAAGGGACATAAGACCAACCATGAAAACAAAAAAGCTGTAGAAGGCATAGAAAATGCCCTTGAAGGATAGAAACAAGAGCTGCTGCCAAGGCAAAGATCAAACAAGGGGTCATGATCTCATCCCACAAAATAGCTTAAAAAACATGTCACGCAAGCCCCTCCTATAATTACACAAAGATTGAGGGACAAAGGAGGGAAGTATATGTTTCAATGGAAGTAGTATTAGACCTTTAATCCATTGGTTTGTTAGTCTGGTCTGCCTCATAGAGCTGGCTGAAGCAGATAAACAAAGTGAGTGAAGTTTAGTTTAGGAGGCAGCTGCCTGGAGTCAGTCAGTAGTCATTGTGCATGAGTGAGCACCCATTTGGGCGTTGGGGAGGAACCTATGATAGCCATACAAATTGATGGAGTATTGGATTTATATTCCGAGACATTGCAATAAGACCATGTGGAAAATAATCCTGAATTTGTTTGGGGGCCTAAAATTTATTCAATTGGCCATTGTCCTGTTGTTGTTTTTTAAATGTCATCTGTTTTTCTATAAAATAGGCTTTGTTGGAGAAAGTTATCGTGAGTTCTAGAGTGTGGTTTCTATTTGAAACTTTTCAAGTTTTTGTGCAAGTTACTGACCTGGTTTTTGGTTTTACCATTCTTGTGAGGCTCACCATGATATTTGATTGTTTGAGGAACCTGTTTCTAAATTATTACCGCATCCTCTTTTTGTGAGGACCTTTCCCCAAACTTCCAAAACAGACTGCTAACCCAAAAAAGTAGAATTCTTGTACATTACAGAATTTTTAAAAAGCAAACAATAATTAACAGGGAATTAACAGGGAAGTTAAAAAGTACAAGAATAAAGCTAAATGTAGCATTAAAGTTTATATTATAGGGTCAGTATATAGTCATTGTTTTCATCGGCCATTCAGTCATAGCCCACTCTATGGATTTGTATATAGTAGAATGTATTTATTTATTTCAGAAAAAGAATTAAATTTGTTTACAGTTTGTTACATTGTAATTGGCTTCACTAAAGACATTTCTTACCAGTACATTTTGAGTTGAGCTAAAATAATATCTCTGCTTATTAATTTTTATTGCTTTTAATATATAGATAAAATATATTTTATATATTTATATACATATAAAATATAAATAAAATATATTTTATAAACAAAATATATTTTATATAAATTAAAATATATTTAAATTGTTCATTATATATATATACACGAGGGCTATCCACAAAATAGATTATGTTTTTGTCTGTAGCAAGAAGGGGCGGAGCTAGCGTGGCCATCTTTGGTCTGTGCGTCTGCTGCTCAGTCTGCATCTAGTCGTGCTAGTGGGAGGTTCGTATCGTTGCCCGTTATTTCACAGCAAACGTTTGAAATGTGTGCTGCAATTGAAAATCCCGCGAGTTGTGAGGTGCGATCAGTGATAAGGTTTCTGTTGGCAAAAAACCATAAACCGATTGAAATTTTTCGGCAACTGTGTGAAGTGTACGGGGACAATATCATCACTGAAGGTGGAGTGCGCCAATGGTGCATTAAGTTTAAAAATGGCTGAACTACGGCACTCGAGAAGTCCTGAATGCTTTCAAGTGGGAGATTTTTCCTCATCCGCCCTACAGCCCCGATCTTGCACCAAGCGAAAGCATTCAGAATAAGGGGGAAAGGGGGTGGGGGAATCAGTATGCCAGAGGAAGGTGTAGCCCTCTTTTTTGATCCTGATGAAAGTGCCCCACACTGCTATTACATGGTATGTGATACTGTGGGCTGCTAATCAGGTGTAGCCAGTGTTTATAACGGAATTGATAAAGATTGATGCTGCATGTACCAAAACATGTACTCCAGGAACTGAAATAGATAATTAAAAGACACACAAGGAGATGGAGTATGGTTTCCATCTGCTGCAGAACATATATCTTTCTTTTGTTGATCATAAAGATACTAGGTTGAAGTGTTGCAAACATGAAAAAGTGACTTTAATTTCTTCATTTCATGGAATTGCAAATATTATGCAGATATTACAGATATTACAGAATCATAGGGTTAGAGGGACCTTGAAGCTAGTCAAATCTCCTGTCCAGTGCAGGAACTAAACAATAGTTATTTAGTAATCATATTTTAAAAATGTATAAAAATCTCTCTTTTTGGAATATCAGAACCTGGCTCCCATCAACCTGATGAAATAAGGATAGTTGTCCAAAGAAAGGTTGCACAATCTAGTGAGCAAGATTTAGTTTCTTCAGCAAAGGGCATTTCAAATTACCTTCACACCATATCAACAAAATAACTATTTTGATCTTGTCAATAGCAGTGATGGAGCAGAGTCTTTTCATGAAAGAGGGATGGGTAGTATATGATATTGAATTAGTTTAGAATATATGCTTTTGAAAAGCAGTAGCTGAATGAATGCTGCAAAGATTGAAACAGTCCATATAAGAGGCCAGAGATTACTATATTTGTACACAAGCTGCAGGATAATGATCTCAGAATGACTAATAGTTTAAAATGGGAATTTGAAGGAGAGAGAGAACACAAATCAGGAGCAGAAGAATGGAAGTTACACTGTGAATGCTGAAAAGGATTTTACTAGACTTTTGGCATATAAACCATAAAGTAGAGGAAAGGGTAGCAATCTAGGGTGGAAAAAAAAAACCAAAAGGTCCAAATGTTGAGATTCTGGATTTGTGTTAGACAGATGGAAATGCAAGAGAAAAATAGCTTTTTTATTCTGATATTTGTATTTTAGTTGCCATCTTCCTAAGAGGTTTATCTACTGCCATTGTTAAGATCTTTCTTGGGTAAGATGAAGATATGTGGACATTGGCTAGTCTTCCACAACTCCTGATGGATTGGCACCACATGCCAACATTTCTAGTGTTTATGGTAGTTGTGATGCTGAAGAATGTTAGACTGAGGAAAGTTAATGTAACTGCAGCATTGATTCCAGTTTTGTTGTGTTCAGCTAATTCTTATCAATATTGCAATACCTTAGAATTATTACATGTTGTCTTCTTGTATTACATGTTGTCTTCTTGTGGGACATTGGAGATTAGTCTTTTCTGTGCTGCCCTGACCATCTGGATCAGCCTCCCTGCTCCCCACTTCCCCGCCACCAAGATTTGGAGGGCCCACAGCTGCAGAGAGCTGTGAAGAGTGGGCTCTTCATCCAGGGATGGGGGTAGGCTGGAAGTGATTCCAGAAAATGTAAATATAGAGTTAGTGGGAGATTGTGGCATATATGATATTGTGGGGTTTATATTTATTCTGGTTTTATGGCTTGTTATTGTTACCCTCCGGGGGGGGGGGGGTATGCATATGTGTGATAGGCAGCTATGTAAGTTTTCTAAATAAATAGAAAATAAAGGCAATGTGGAGACTTCCGGTGGCAGGATAAGGACGTGTAGAGGTGTAGAAGCCCAGCTGCGGTTTCAGTGTACCTCTTCTTGCGCTTGGTGCGATCCCTAGAGGATACCCAAATCCTGGAGAGATTCATGTCGGTGTGGGGGAACCTCAGGTTGCAGTGTGGGGGAAGGCAACCCCCTGGCAGTGAAGAGAAGACCTCCAGAGCCCAACGTGAAAGAGCCAGCCGCCTGTCAATGGCGGCTCCAAAGTCCGGACTGCCTCCGATGTGAAAAGCAAGTAAATGACAGCTTGTAAGATCGGTGAAGAAAGAGCAGAAAGAGGTGGCAGAAAGACTAACAGTGGAGAGAGCGATCGGCAAGTGATTTTTTTGTGTTAATATCTGTCGAAAGCCTGAGGGAAAAGCGGCTAAAAAAGCGAAAGTTTGACTAGCGTGGGTGGAAAGGCTTGGCAGACGGAAGTGAAAGTGTGGATTATAGTGTTTGAAAGGAGAAGACTGCGAACTTAAGAAGAAATCATGAGAAAGAGTAGGAGACCGGTGGAGAATTTGAGCTCTTAAGTGGACTGATATATTGACAGACTTCCCAGGTTTAAAACCCGAAGAGGAGCAAGGCTGCTGAAGAAAGGGAAACGCGGTGCCATAAGAGATACATTGAATCTCCGAAGTCATTGCAAAAAAAACAACAGACACTATTTGCT